TAATATTAGAAGTAAAAACAACGTGTTTCTGTTTATAAGGCAAAGAGAAAGGACGATATTCTCAAGGAACAAACGTGTTTTTCTAAAAAAAAAAAATGCGACAAATAAGCGAAAATAATACGCACACGCGCACATACACAGAGAAAGAGAAAGAGAAAGAGAGAGAGAGAGATAGCGTTCGCTGTTGATGGTAAATGTGCGTATATTCTTTCCGAATGTAAATAACTTTTTTTTTTGTTTCTTCTTGTGCCTCAATCTTGCTCAACGTTATTTGGATTGTAACGTTATTTGGATTGTAACGTTATTTGGATTGTGTGATCTCTAACATAATAAAAACATAATTCTTTCAACAGTATGTAATTAATACAAAGGTACATTGAGTATACACAGTGTGTGTGAATTTCGACATACGTCCATGCAAGAGAAAATAAAGCGTCGGACTGTGTGGAAAAGAAACGCAAAAGATTTATTATTTAATATTTTTACGATTTAATTAAAATTCAAAAAGGTTATCTCTTGAAACAATATACTTATATACTATATGCTGCTTCTCCCACTTGCGTATTTAAAATATCAATTTTTTTTTTTCAACGAATCTGCAGAAAGTATCTTAAAGCAAAAAATAAAAATAAAATAAAATATTTTTTACTAAATAAACTTGGTAACAAGCACACAACAATTATTTCTGAGAATTAATAAACCGCAACACACGCATATATATATATATATATATATATGTACATATATATGCACATGTTGTTGTTCCGGTAACTTATAGAAGAGTGCAAAACAAAATTAAAATAATATTGAAACACGGATATATTAATTATTTGTGTACATCGTAGAAGATTTATCAAGCGTTGGCCACTCTGTGGCGCTACAAACTAACTAAGAATCAATAACGGCGTGACGCAAAAAAATGGTGAAATCTTAAATATTCGAGAATGCTTCTTACTGCCTAAGATCATAGCAACAACATTTTCTTGTTACGTCGAGGAAGGAGAAGGGTGAAAAACAAAAAGGAGAATATTCAAGGAAAGAATACAGGAGCGTGTGGTGTATGCAATAACATTCTGTGTAATCATTGCTTCGCCCAGAGGAATGTGTGAGAAGTAACGAATGGTTTAAATACATTAAATAATATTTTATTTTTATATCCCGTTTTTTTTTTTGTACCGCACCTTTTCTTGTACCGCCACGAAGGGCCACAAACAGAAACAGAACTTGCCTTCGAATATTCGTATGTGTGTTTCTCTCATCACATAAATAATATAATATAAAAATAACAACAAATTGAAAAAAAAAAAAGTTACATACCTATCACACAAGTATCGCTCTCTCGGTTTGTATAACACACACACAAACCTTCTTTTTTCGCTGAGTAAATATAATTTTCGCTCTCATTTTGCAACACTACTATTTACAAATATAATGCAAACACCTTATCGCATAAGTTATTTTTTTGTTTCATAGAAAATATCATTTCAAAATTGCAGTGTCGCTCGCCTACTCGAGAAGCGATGACATTTCTAAATATATATGTATATATATATATAAATATATATATATATTTATATATTTATATATTTATATCACCTTTCCGGTAACGCATCTCGTCTTTTTTTTTTTAAGATGTCGCTCGCATTCAGCTCGACATTTTTCCTCATCAATTATCACACAAGCGAGACGCAATAATCACCGATAGACTGTCGCGAGAGTCGCTCGAAGAAGATTGCGGGGGAACTCAATCCGGCATGGTTCCGGCGATCAAAGGTCCCGCTTCATCGGCACGTTACACCCCGATTCAAGAGATTTAACTTGTTCGTGATACGACCTCTACAACACCAACCAAGTCGCTAGCGTTACACCAGATTAATCACGTTTACGTCCCAATACAATCGTAAGTAAATTCGACATATAGAATTTCCTTCTCTTTCACCCAAATCCTGACTCTTCTCACCCATAGTGTCTGACGATTGTACGATTGCGAGCGGAAGTCCGACATACAAATTTCAAATTCGTTTCCGACCTACATTCAGACGTACAGTCAGAATTTCGATAGTCAGGCGTTCCCGAGACTCGGAACTCGCGACGGCTCTCACTCCACATCGGATAACAACGACGCAGTTTTGCGTCGCGCAAACGTCCGTAATATTTTTTGATTGATAGCAAGAAATTCCCGCGAGGGAAAGAGAAAGAGAAAGCGAGGAGAAACGGGGGCGAACAATCTCATCCCATTCGCGAGTGCTGTTGAGTCTGCTGTTGCTGCTGCTGCGGTTGTTGTTGTTGTTGTGACTGCTGCTGTTGTTGTTGTTGTTGTTGTTGTTGTTGTTGCTGCTGCTGCTGCTGTTGTTGTTGTTGTTGTTGCTGCGCCGAGTAATTTCTCTCGGTCTGCTCTCTCTGGTCTCTTTGCCACTGCGCTACTTCCTTTTTCTGCTGCTCGCTTTTGTTGTGGTGCCGGTGGTAGATGCTCTTGTGGTTGCGCAGACTGTTTAGACTGGAGTAAACCCGCTTGCAGATGTTACAGATCGGTTCCTTGCTGGGCCTGGTGTGCACGTTCTGTATGTGCCGCTTGAACCGCGTTAGGGAGGTCAGGTTTTTGTTGCACGGCTCACACCGAAACTCATCGCTCGCGCCGCTGCCGGCCAACAGACCTGGCGGCAGAACCAGACACACAGGGGTTACTACTTTTGTGGGTTTTTTGGCGCATGGAGAAACGTCGCACGGACGTCGGGGCAGGTGAACAAGATATTAGACTCGAAGGGGGGGAGGGAGAAAAGGGGGTACAGAGAGAGAGAGAGAGAGTGAGAGAGAGAGAGAGAGAGAGAGAAAGAGAGAAAGAGAGAGAGAGAGGACATCATCCCCAATGTGCTTTTCTACATCGTTCTGTTTTTTTTTTTTTTTTNTTTGTTCTCTAGCCGTAACCTCGTCTCCGCGCGATCGCACACCAACCACACTTTCACGCTCCTACACCACCATATCACATCTAAGTGTCACAACCACCAGAGTTTTCGCAGCTGAGAAAATATCGTGCGCCCCGTGTGTGCGTGCTCTCTTCTCTTTTTCGCCTCTGTATCCGCCGCTTTAGTACTTTTTTTTTTTTTTACTTTTGCGCCTTATTAATTCGAGAGCATAACGTCGTGTACCACCGTCACCCGACAAGCCGTGCCCAGAAACTTGTGTGTTTTACGTGCGTTATTTTTTTTTTTTTTTTTTTGAAAAAACCACCTAAGTTACATGTATGCTTTATATGTATTCTCCGCTACTTCCGCCGCTGTCTCATTGCGAAACGATTTATCATGAGGGGAAACACCTCCGAACAGACACCGGATGCAACCATTGTCACCGTATCTTTCTCTCGTTTTCTGCTTCCTTCTTTTCTGTTTTTATTTTTATTTTTTTTGAGCTTTTTGTTCTTTAGAGATCGTGAGACTTTGTTTGGCTACGTTGTCACATGTAATCGTCGTCGCAATGTTATTAATATTTTCATCTCGTTGAATTTGTCAACTTTGCCGTCGGTTGTCAATGTCAACGGTCTATCGCTTCGATTTTTTTTTCTCTCTCTTCTTCTCTCAAACACGGCTACGTTGTCGTCGTTATTGCTAATCGTCATTGTCGCAGTAGAGCTTTTTCAGTTTTGATCGTCTCACTTTCAAACGAGTCAATCGATCTCTCTTGCCACATTTCCGTGCCGTATTTCATAATCATGTACACATATACCGTGCCATTTGTTTTCAAATATTATTGTCGTTATCGTTACACATTTTATTCCAATTTCTTGAATTATTTATCAAAAAAATTCGTTTAACAAACAACCGTTAAGATACTGTTATCGTCCTTGTTTTCATAATTCTTCGGCACTACGTCGCGCGTTCGTCTTATTTCAATTATGCAATTATTTTTATATATATGTTATTACAATTAAACACTTCGATTACACAATATGTCTTGATATTTTCTTTTTCGTTCTAGCGATTAATTTAATCAAAGCGCGATGAAAGATCATTTTTTTCAGCGACAAACTGACCTTGTCGGTTGTTATCAAATAACGTGTCAATAAAGTGATAAACAATACATACTCGACGACTAAATTAAAAAATATACCGCAAAATTGCGCAAAAAAAAAAAGTGCTGACATTTTGTGCACAAGTGAAAATATTGCAAAATTTCAAGCAACGACGCTGTCGAAAGAAGAAAAAAAAGACAATAAGATTGAAATGTCAAACGATTAACGTGGCGCATTGTGTAACCCATGTGTCTCAATTTATAATTCTTTTTTCTTTTTTTAAAACAATAATATTATCTTACTCGATCACGTTTCGCTGAACAAAGTGTGACTTCAATCTCTCAATTGAACGAACTATAAAATTAAAAAAATTCGCGCGAACTCTTAAACCTTGAAGAAACATTCGAGACGCGAACACGTATTCGATCGAGATACGATGACAATGGCAATAAAAATTATAATCGTGATGCTCTGTTTCGGAGGACTTAAATTTTCTCTCTTTTTTTGTTTTTGTCATTGCGAAACATTCGTGCAGCATTTCTCAGTTCGTTTCTCTCTTGACGCGGCGGTGTGTTTCCGTAATCCTTCAGATGTATTAAAGTAAAAATAACACAGTGCAAGCAGTTCCAAAGTTCCAGCGAACGATCGTGAGCGATGAAGTTAGTGTTTTTCATGATCCACTATATATATATGTATATATATATATATATGTATATATATGTATATGTATATATACAAATATATATTCATGTGTTGATGCGTATTATTTACAGCGAAATAGAGCAAAATAGTTATCTTATATACATGTAACGCGCGCGCGCGTACGTGTGTGTGTGTGTGTGTGAATAATGGCTTCGAGAGTATGGAAATATAGGTACATGTGCGAGCTGTGTATACAAATGCGATATCTGGTTTCTAATGAGGTGATGCGATGAAGCGTAATGTTTTCTATAATATATTTCGTGATTAATGACATTTTTTGTTGTTGTTGTAGTAGCCTTGAGCGAAAGAGCTGTCGACAAAAGTTTTCTTTCCTCTCGTCGCGCGAGATTATTTAGGCCGTGCGATAAAAAAAAAAAAAAAAAAAAGAAACGCTCGCTCATTAGAAACGAGAGTTTACGTTATTATTATTATTATTATTATTATTATTTTCAATTATCTACTCTTTATTCGTTTCGCCGCTAATCAGTGGACTTGTTTACATATAATATCGTGTTGTACAACGTAGTAATTAACAATAAGTACCGGCCGAGTCTCGTATTCCCGACCGCGCGCTGCGCGTGAATCTCTTTGGTTTGGTTAGACAAGAGGAGAAGTATCCCATCATCTCTCGTACGCCGCGATTTCGATTCGTTTTTTGTTATTTTTTTTTTTTTCTCATTTCTCGACGATAATAATAAATATAATTTAAAACACATCGTTCATTACGTGTGTTGAAAAAAATTGTACAATATTGTGTTGAAAATTTCTTATATATATATATAAGAATTTTCTATATCAATTATTAATTTTTAATACGACGCTATACGTGTGTCTCACTTATTGTTAGATTCTTAGATTTAAGATGAACTCGGCATATATTCAACTGTGTGTATTACAACAAATTAAATTTTCAATCTAAAACTTTAGATAAACTTTTCACATTTGTATGGTTGTTTCTGATCGAAAACAATTTTTCTAACGTGTACGTTAAAATTCATTCACACAAATTCAACACATTTGATCTGTGCCGAAAGGAATGAGTGTTAAGGGTTACACATCAGTGAAATATAAAACTTATGACATATTCGTAACGTCCCTCTCCCACCCTTTCCCCGTTCGTCGGTATAAATCTCTCTTTGTTGTACGTATCGAGCGAATCAAGCGACGAAACTTCGCCAGATGTACAAAACGTCGGGTTTAAAAAAAAAAAAAAAAAAAAAACAGTTTTTATATTGTTGACTAATCTGGTCTAATAAATGATCTCAATCTGTAGATACTTTTTCAACGGCAACTTTATTTTTGCGATAAATCCGCTATCGGGAAACATTTACAGATAAGAGATAAGAGATAAGAGTAAAAAATAGTCCAAATTCTTTTTCTCCTTAATAAAGTTTAGTTTCACAGAATAACAGAAAGTTTATTGCAACGCACACACAACATCGTCTGAAATAAACGCCTGGTTATCCCGATAGTGCCATTTTGCATCTCGAAATACGCAGATAGAATTCACTTACGTAAATTCGCATATCGTGAAATTCAAAATAGAAATAAAGAAATGAACTCAATAACGAAAAATAAAGTACGAAAGCCAATCGGAGTTAGAAATCAAGTTACTTATATCTCGAACGATTTAAACTTTCAACTGAAAAAAAAAAAACTTATCACAGAAATATCAATAATATATATATATATATATATATATATATATATATATATATCGCGTGTTTTTTGGCTTTAAAGAAACAAAAAAAAAAAACTTTAACTTCGCAAGATGTTAACCGTTTGGTATCAATAATACAACTAAGTTATAAAAAAAAATGTATTCGCGAAATATTGACAAAAAGAATCAACACTGATTAAGTTCTTTGGTCTAAAACTGAGGTAACTCGCCGAAGAGGAACAAAGGAACCCACATAAATGTGTCCCGCGCATTAATACTGTACGGTGAGATGTAAACTACAATTTATCAACGCGATAAGGTGTAAGCGTATCAATTGGTAGGAGAACGCGGAAATATATAATTTACACATTTTGCGTAAGACAAAAACTCTCTCTCTAGTCGACTATATATAACAACCATAATAGACTATAAAAAATCTTTTCCGTGTCTCGCAATAATCTCCGTGATGGTGTGCATGTCCACGCACGCGTGATAAATTTTTATTATAGTCTTTCATTTTTACGTCCTTTTCTCACGATGCGATGCAATCTCGTTTCCATTCGTCGAGATTATTACGTAACCTCGCACTGAGCCTC